TATTAGAATGTGTTGAGAGAAAGTTACGCTTATGGCTGGTAGAATTCTTTATAAATGGGGGCGTTCAAATTTTTCATACACAAGTCTATTGGCAGTTTCATTTGCTCATTTTTTCTTCTTCTTTTTTTTTCTTCTTCTTTTTCTTACGGGCCTGTCCCTTCTCAGATGTCTCCACAGCGGGTTAAACGTCTCCACTCACACCGGTCCTACGCACGGTCATCTCATTATACTAGTACTACCCTCTCTTTTTAAACAATCAGTCGAGGCTTTATCTTGTACTCTGTTTTAAAAGCTCTCTCAGAAGGAAAGGATTTTTTGGACTAAAAAATCGTCGTCATCTTCTTAAGGAATCGACGTGTACAAAACTCCACGTTTCTTTTCTAGTTATTCAGATTTTTCATTTTATTTTGAAAACAAAACGTCCCTGTTTGTGAACATTTCGGTTCGCGGACGGTGTCAAGCAACGAAAGGAGTTCGCGACCCGAGCTTCGGCTGTGCTTTGCATTTGGGAACGAAAACTGTTCTTTGCAAGCAAAGGATCACAATTCTACCTATCATATACGGCGTGGCCTAAAACGGTGATAACTTCATACCATATTCATGCTAGCAAATACTGTAGTTTCTTAAAAATCTATTACGAGCTCAGGGGCAGATTTTGGCCGTCTTCTGGGTCTTCCGGAAGACGGTCAGATTTTCAAGTTTACATTGACAGGTATTTAATTTTTTCTGTTGGAAGACGGTCAAAATTGGAGGATGAATCAACAAAGATAATTTGGAAGACTGTCAGTAAATAGCTCTGGATCCGCCACTTTCTTGAAAACAATTTTAGTTGCATGCAGTGTGAATTTTCAAAAAGCGATACACACCTATAGTCTATATTGATTAGTTTTATTCCTAATCAACACCTCGTAATCCATTGTAAAGTTGTTAACGTTGTTGCAAATTAGAAATATCCTATCGAGATGAAAAACTGCATCATTCTTAAATTGCCGTACTGTCACGGTCAAAGACCCAGAAGTAAGTTAAGTATAAAAACCTACCTGAGCATCTTGCTTCTCGTTCACGTTGCTGAAGAACGTCTGGTGCTCTGCTCCAAATCTGAGGAGTGCGCTGCGGCTACAGATTTCGTGATGTTTTAAAGACCAGCTCACCCAGGAGGGGGAGCACATAGAGAAAGCTGGGTACATACTCTCTAAAATGGTCTTAATATTTGACTCCTGAGTGTGATCTTCTTAATGACATTTTATTTCTGTTCAAATCGCAAAATCTTTTTAGTTGCAGGGCAACTCGTTAACGCAGTTTCCCCTCAAAAATATCATTTTACTTACTTTCTTTCCTTCAGTGATTTCTACCCAACCTAATCAGAGTTGCCCCTCCGAGAGTGACTCATTGGTTTTTGATAGGCAGACGTTATAGGGGTGCTTTCAACTGCTGTAGTTTCGATCCATTAAAAGTACCCTCATACAAATTAATTTGAGGTAGATTGGTTGTGTTGCCCCCGACTTTGATTCCTTGTTTTGAACTGTACCAGATGGTTGAAAGAAAAAAGACCAGGTTAAATTCATTTGTTTATGTATTTTCTTTTAAATGTACAGTATGTGTCATCTAGAGAGCATTGATTCATTCACATTTTTTGTGCCACCTAGTCTTTTTTATTGATAAGTTGTGTCCAGGAATGTGGTGTTACACACGATTAGGCCATCTTCCCCCACTGTTTCATTCAAGTTACTTTTATCTATCATTGAGGCTCCAAGGCGTAAGTTCATTGCCTTCTTTACGTTTTACACAACATTTAGATTATACTTAGGTTATATTTAGTTTTTATTTGTACGTATATGTTCCTATAGAAACAGTTAAAGTGCTGTGGCATTTCTGCCCATGCTTTCAAAATGTAGGTCATACATTGTTTTACCGTATGGTAGTTAAATTTCGCGCACAACATATTTATGTTTTTGTCATTATTTGGTTATCTTTAAATACTTTATTTGTTAATTCATGCTCCTTTGTAGCATTTATAGATAGATATTTTTGCAACATCCTTAGTATTTTCTCTTCTATTTTTTTACGGTGATGTATAATAAAGATAGCTTACATCAATACCGTTGTCAGCTGTCATTCCTCTGCGTCTATCGAAAGTGGCAGTACATTGGTTCTTGCATAATTTGACGCATTGCATATTTTCTGCGCATCGCCGATCGTTTCCAATGTCGCAGTAGTCAAAGTGAACATTTTGAATCATCCAGTTTAGAAGGCTTGTCTAGAAGTATTATACTGAGATAAACAGAAAACTATATCTAATACTGGATCTTATGTTGAAGCGGAGATCACGACGTTTCGATCTTATCTCAAGGTTTTCTTCAGGTGAACTGATTTATAATTGTCACTGTGGAGTGAAAGGAGTCATTCGTGAGCAGATTAAGAACGACCCCATCCTCATCAAACTCGGTGGCCTGAGATACCTACTACCACATCTGTGGAACAGGGCTGGTGACAATTCAAAATCAGTTCACCTGAAGAGGACCTTGCGACAGTCACCCCCCCTTTTTTTTGGTTGGTTTAGGTGACATAGGTTATGATATTGACCTTTTTTTACGAAATGCTGTTTGTAAACAATTTGAACAACACTTCAATCTAGTTAAATTTTGGGTCAAATCTTATCGTCTTGTGGGATTGAAACGTGCTTCGGAATTGAAATATATGACATTTAGAGGGGGGAGAGCTCAGAAATGATATTATTTTAAACTTTTTTAAAAATTATTATTTATTTACGTATTTGTAACTATGGCAACAGCTGAGTCAGTCACACCCATCACCAATTTTATAAAAAACAAGCAGAAAGTTACAACGTAGGGCCAAGGTGTTGTTCCCCTGCGTATGTCATACTCTTATAAGAGGGGCATGTCATCCTTATGCCTGGTAAAGCGTGTCCTTAGCTTATAGCGTATGCACAACGTATGTCTCCTACACTCGAATATGCTGCAATTTTTTTTTTATCATTTTCAAAAATTTCTAACTACCTCTGTGTATGCGAACGTACACCAATGCTTACCTGAATGTGCAAAATGTACACGACAGAAGTGTAAGGAAGCCTTTGCATTTTTCTGCATACGTGTAAATTTCCTGATACATGTACTTTAGTGCTATAATGCTCAAGTTCGAAAATCAGCCCGACTGGAAATTTTCCTTTAGTTTCTTTTTGTTTTTCTTGTTAGATTTTTGTTTCACAAATTGATATTTTCCAGGTGTGGATCTGAAGAAGTGCTTTTTTGTGCCCCTGATGCTGTTTTCACATTTATGTCGGTTCATTTGGTTGTAAATATTGTTGCATGTCTTCTGGTGTTCGGTGTCTAGATGTTTGAAAGCAATGATGTCTGGTTCTAGTTGATACACATTTTCTTTGCAAATTCTCAAAAACTGAAGTTTTGACATTTCAATCATGTAAACACTCCTTTCAGCAACAGAGATAAAGTACACCATAAATATGACTTCATAATTTTATTTACAATTTCAAATTCAGTATAACACAGTACACATTTCACACCACTGGGAGGAATGTACCTCTAATCTCCTGTGCATTTCAATATTATTTTGTAATTTCTCTACTTTCAAACAATTACATTGCTCAATTATTTTCAAATAATGTCACAAATAATTAAGTTTTTTAAAAAAATAATAATAAAAAGAAACAACACTCTGTACATAACAACTAAAATGTAAAACAAACAAACAAAAAAAAAAGACACTTAGCATATTGAATAAACCCATATTGTATTAGTAAATATAAATGAATAAAACTAATTGCAGACATTAACTTGTAGCATCCAAATCTATTCATCTGTCACAATAAGGCTTGAAAGGCAATCAAATCTATTCACCAACAGCTAATAAATACATCTGGTAAAATTCCCAAGGTGTTGTTTTAAAGATGGTGCTGAGCACAGTGCAGGGGTGGATCCAGAGATATTTTCTGACAGTCTTCCAAATTATCTTTCTTGACAGATCCTCTATTTTTGACCATTTTCTGACAGAAAAAATAGATACCCATCACTGTAAATCTGAAAATCTGACCATCTTCCAGTAGACCCAGAAGATGGCTGCAATCTGCCTCTGCAGTGTACCAAGTCACCAGGATATCACTGCCTGGAAATTATCAAAGTTGCCAGTCAATTATTATTTTTTTTTTAATTACAGCACCATATATCTTGTGTACAGTAGCCTTACTTTTTGTTTCTTTTTCTATAGACCCATTATTTTCATGTTTTACCTCTAGTATCTATATAGTGGTACACTACCCTCCACCAGGGCGAGTGATAGATTTTTTTACAGATATTCACAGATATGTCTCTAGCTAGATAGATGGTCATTTAGGGCTCAACTCACCCTGTTGAGAAATCTCGAGGCTGATTACATGGCTGATAATTGTTTGCATAACTGCTCAGGCACTGCAACTTAGCAGGTCCAGTTTAAGTCTGCGTGACAGCAATCAAGACAGTTAATTACTCTGACTTCAATCACTTGCTCTACTGTGACAGATAAAAAAGCCTTAGACTGGTTGCGTAACGAGCAGTTATCACATCGTTGTGAAGCTCAGCTCATGCAGAGCAAGTACAAAGCCTTTGGCGCGCGTGCAGAGATAATTGTTTCCACATGGGATTCCTCAACAGGGTGAGTTGAGCTTTAAATGACCATCTATCTAGCTAGAGACATATCTGTGAATATCTGTAAAAAATCTATCACTCGCCCTGGTAGAGGGTAGTGGTACACAATGAATTCACTAAGGGTGCATTCCCAGAGATTTAGATTGATCAACAGATTTAGATCTACCTACTCCCTGGGGGTTCACACTAAATTGCAGTCAGCCAAGCGTGCACCATAGTTTATTACCCCCTTACAGCTTTTAGTAGGTGGGACAGACACTTAAGCCGGCTAAGCTGACAGTAATCTATGAGACATTCTGACCATTTCAGCACAAAAAAAAAAAAAAAAAAAAAAAAAAAAAAAAAAACTAAATCTGAATCAGTAATCAAGTCTTTTCAAAAATAAGTTACCCTATAAAATATCATAAAAGAATAGTCAAATTTTGCTTGATAATCAATGATGGCTTTATCCATTTAATTTCTACTGGACAAATCTCTGTATCACTGCTACCACAAATTGCATCTCACTTACAATTTGAATATCACCTAGTTTTTACAACTTCCAACAAGAAAGGTGAAATTCACTGCACTTGATGGTCTAATTTCTCAGGGGCTACTATAACTTTTATTTTCCAGTTGCAAAAATGATGAGCTATACCTACTATTATGGCATTTTCAAAAATGACAAAACAAGTAAACATATATGCAACAGAGACATAAATAAGACATTGAAGTATGAAGCAACTACACATTATGTTCAACTTAATAGAAAAGAGGACCTATTTTATGCTAACACTATACTGGGATATAAATAACATCACAAATGACAAACCATTTTGACAATTTTTCCATTCACGTTTTTCCTCTCAATATGGTAAAAGATTGCTGCAGTTCAAGTAATACCTATTTTAGTTTGAAGCACTTCTATAATATCTGCATCGGTTTTATCAACAGAACCTTAATGGTCAATTTCAAGTCTAACATTATTAATTTAGTGGTAAAAAAGTAAATAGTTTCTTAATTAAGACACAAACACATTTTCTCTAGCTATGGGTCATGACATGTTGACCATACATCAAGTGGACTTGATCATGTGAAAAACTTGTCACTCTTATTTAAGTAATTTCATTACCATCACTTTAACTCATGAGCCAAGAAAAAAAAAAAAACCCTGAAATCACGCAGTTCTTATTTAGTCTTACTAAAGTTAGTCTTGCTTTTTCCGGAATTAATCAGAGATAAAGTCATGTACTATTTTATCTAAGGTTTTGAACTCCCTAGACACTGTAAAATACCTAGTTTTAGTTAATATCAGGCTTAATTCAACAACCATGAAGTGCATCCACCTTTCACACCTGCACCATATTGTCAGCTAGGAAACTACTGTCTGAAATCAAGCCATTAGTGCTTCTTGTACCTCGTATCATATCACCTCACAGCTTGGCTTTTAATAAAATGGCCTCTCTTCTTTCGTGCTTATAATTATAGTATAATTAAGACTATAGTTAGTTTATAGTCTGTAGTAGTCAATAACTTTTTTTTACGGGGGGTGGGGTTCTAGTTTGAACCCAGATATGGCTTCACTTGTTTAGTGCTTGTAATAAGTAAATGTTATCCCTGTAATCATCAATAGACTGATTTTCTCTAGACTGACATCACCATAGATGGGTCTCTCGTATTTCACTGATAATCTGCCCTGCCTGATTGAGTGCCTGAAATGACAATGATATCTAGTTAGAAAATAATACAGTGTGTAATAATCTTACATAGTGCATCAAAGTATAAAGGTGAACATGAAATTCTAAAAAAAAGAAAAGAATAATGTAGTTTGTTTAAGTTCCACTATAGGCAGTATTTTCCCCAATAACAGATAATTCCAAATGGAATGTTTTATTATAGTACACAGTGTTGAAACGTACACTGGGCTCTCAAACATTTGAGAAATTTTCTGAATAATATTTAAGCCATGAAATCACCCCAATTACATGTCAGTCAACATTTTACTGTTTTTACAGCATTTTAGAAGTTCTCTTTTTCATCTTTCTCTTCAGTACATAAAGAGTCATATGTCTGTGTACATTTTTGTATATTATGATTATTACTTTTATTAGTCTGAAATAAGCTTTTTAGAGTGGTTTCCCTGCTGTGCATGCCCATGCATATCCACTTTTGCTAGCTACCCATATCCACTTTAAATTTGCTGGTATACATACATTGAATAAAAATAAGGTCAAACTAGAGCAAAAGGGTGGCAATATTGTGGTATATTACCACGAGAGAGATGAAGCTCATTCAAGTTAATATGGATGCATATGTTTTAGATGTGGAAAAATAGGGGCTGGTAAAAATGGGAAGTGTATTTTGTGAGGAAAGGTAGGTCAAAGGTCAAATGAAAAGTAACAGTAAGATTGCCAACATATGACTTCCTATTCAAGTTCAACAGTAACTATGGGTGTAACTCTGCCAGTTTTGGAGATATAAGGGATGGAAAAGTTGAAAAATGCAGTCATGGTGAAAAGTAGATCAATGGTCTAATTCAAAGTCACATTAAGATGACCAATATATTACTTTCTATTCGAGTTCAATCATAATTTTTATGTATCTCTGCTAGATTAGGAGATATAAGGACTGGAAACTTTGCAAAGTACGGTTCATGGTGGAACGTGTCAAAGAACGCATTCAAGGTCACATAAAAATTTGCAGCAGGCCTGATATTTTGCTAAATTAAAATTGCTTCTACCCATAAACATATGCCAACATCATTTGTTTGACTATAAACATACACAGATTTAAATTTAACGTGAAAGAACATGCACTACCTTCAACATTTCTTGCGCCTCTTTCCTCCTGGCTGCGATATGCTCTGACTCCTCCAGCAGCCGGTCAATCTGTTCCTTCTTGTAGAGTTGACTAACCAGCTCACTCTGGAGATTGTCCTTTACGTTATTGACTAGAAAGTGCATTACGGACTTTGGAACGCTGTCTTGGATGTTCTTGCGAACAATGAGGAAGTAGGATTTGATAAGTCTCTCTGTAAAAGACAAAAATACATTTTCAATGTGATATTTTGTTCATAATGTCTAAGTTGAGTTCCACTATCTGCTACTACCTACAAAGTTTTTGAAAAAAGGAGAAAACTTCTATTATTTGTTAATTTGTTCAACCAGAACTTTATTAAGTGTTTAAAATATTTAGTAAGTATACATAAGTATGCATCTGGGTCTATAACCATACATATTCATGTAACACACACACACACACACACACACACACACACACACACACACACACACACACACACACATTCTTCCTTTCTTTATTTTTCAAGAGTATGTTCAACATTTTGAAGGACCCACCTATGACATCACAGTCTCTCTGTTCTCTTTGTGACAACTTGCGGACAGGGGTTTGCGTTGGCTGAAATGGACGGACAACATTTAATATTACTGAATGTTATCAAGTTATCATCCATTTTTTTGTCTTTTTTTTATAAAAATGATTTCAAACAATAAACATTAATGCACTATCTTCGAATGTTCTTACATTCCAACCTGTGAGTGTTTTGTGTTTAGCTATGTGTGGCGGAGGAGAGTCCCAACACTCAGTCTGTATCAGTATCAGGGCCAAAAAATGACCAGGCATTTAATATGCACTAGATTCATGTGGAGTGGGTATGCAGGAACTAAACTTTACTTTTACTTTAGCCATTGTAGAATGCTTGCTCATAAAAACCACAGGCATGAGTACACCTGCAAATGCACATGTAATAGACACTAGCTATGTCTTAGCCCAGCATGTGTGTGCGTGTGTGCGTGCATGCTATCTTAAAGTAGCTACTTACCACCTCAGGGAGTAAGTTGACCCCCTTGCCTGGCACCCCCCTGGTGGCCGGAGACCCAGGGGCACTGCCTGTGTGCTGAGGTGAGAATTCGGGTGCCATGCTTTCCACCTTGCCACCACGAGCCCAGATTTTCCACGAACTGCCATTCACGTTTTCTTGTTGTGGCCCAGACGGTAATGCCTAGAAGTTCACAAAATAGCATAATTACTTTGACAATTCTAGCTACCAATTTCTACCAGTATCTATTTGCATATATATAATTATAATAATAAAATGCATGTTTCTTAATGAAATGCAAGTTTCCATCTTTCTTTGGGGAAAAAACATGAAGAAGCAACAATAAATTTACGCAAAAAATGTACTGTAAAAGTTTACAATATTTCATAATGGTAAACATATTACAAAACAATTAAATGTTCACTTTAAAAAAAACATGAAAAAGTTTATTTCAAACACACAATCATGCTTATGGTGAGTGTCTACTAAGTCTCATATTAATCCATATTTCAGCAATACAGCCAATATTGTTCAACCCCATACATTAGAGACCATTTGTGTCCTATGTTAAATGGTATATGTGCCCTGTGTTAAATCCTCTGTATGCCCTCAAAACAACAACCCACACAGCACTAATCCAAACACACAGGCAAAGGGAGACCCTCAAACAGATTGCTTTACCAATGAACCACTTATATTCCAACACTGGAATTCCCTTTAATTTATCCTATGGTTGAGAATGGGATTCAAGAGATCACTAGCTAATGCAATGTGTGTGAAACAATAGTAACAAGCTAGGTCTCCATCTACAACCACATCACCATTTCCTTGACATTATTTCTATTCAGCAAGCTGCATTCTAAATTACACAGACGTGAAAACTGAAGCAACCTGCCATGCATTAAGGTGGTCAAACTTTCACCCCTCAAAGCACACAGCTGTAACTACGGCTGAAATGAATAATTGAAAGGAATGCCCTTCATGATAACCAAACGGCATGAGAATAAGATTTCAATTTCAATTCATCCCACTGGATTTCTTCACTCTCAATCAATCAATCAATAAATAAATAAATGGATATAAAATAAATTAATTAAACCACGCCTGAATCTGCGTCTCTTTAAAAGGTTTACAGATTCTAAAATGCCAAGGTTAAACACCATGCACCTAGCAGCAGTCAGTAACCCATGCTGTGTGAAGACTCACAGCATTCAGAGAATCCACAGAGCCCCACTGTTTTGAGCTAGACAGGAGCTGAGGAGTCCCGCGTCCTAGCTCATACTTAGAGGTCTCGATCAAGGCTGATACCAGGTTTTTATGAGACAGCCTTGAAGACGAGGGGGGAGGCTGATACCTTGGTTTGCCCTACAAGAAATTCCAGTTGTTTTAGTTCTTACTGAACTGCAGAAAGATTTCTACCACACTGAGAGAAAATTCTTATATAAATAGACCTACAGATATTGTCAGTTTTATTGGCTGTTTGACCTGAATTTTGGGGCCAACTTCTCTTTTTTTAGTCTTTCTCAGATAAAATTGATATAGGGCTAAATTTCATTCAAACCTTATCGAAGTTATTAATAATATGGAATCAACTGATCTTGTGTCCACATTGAGCTGTGACAGTGGCCAAACTATTGATAAGATTTACTAAGATATCTGACTAATGAAGAAAAATTGAAAAGAAGTCATAAACTAAGTGAATAATAATTTACTATGATACACACTAATCTGAGCTTTGTTATCTTAAACTTGGTATCTGTAATTTTTTTTCTAACATAAGCAATTGGCCGTTTTTAGTGTAAAAATGTATAAATTAAGTTTTCTTCAATGTAGCTGTATCAACCACTAACTCAGTACCACCAAGATTACTACAAACATGTGCTCTGAAGACTAGGATGACAGGGAAAAAGTAACCAAATTCTAACTTAAGACTGACCATCGACATATTTTATATCACTCACCTGAACCCTTAAACCCCCATGCCGCTTTACAGAAGGAAAACATAGAGTATAGATACAAAAGTGGTCCTCCACATTAAAGGTTGCACTCACAACAGCAGACCAATAGATCTGCAAACCACATATGACTGACCAACTTACTGCCTAATCCCAGCAGGGAATCTATTAAGTGTCTATTAGGGGATTATGCAGCAAGCCATCACATGGAACAGCCATATTTGATCTACAGATCTGTTCTGAATGCACCCAAAGATAAGAGTACAAAGAAAACAGTAAAGAAGAAAAGCAACAACTGCAGTTTTACCAAATAAGAAAAAAATAATCTCGACATATCATGACAGTTGTGAGAAATACAATTATAACAATAATTTACAGCCATAGTTAAATACCAAATGATACAAAAACAGTACTAACCCTTACGTCTCTCTCTTCCTGTACAAAGTTTCTTCCACTGGATTCTTGGGATAAATTCCCTACATTATTTTCTACTAGGGCCCTATGCATTAAGCTTGCTTCAGCAAAGTCAGGGTGCTTGGTGTTGATGTAGGCTAATTCAATTGCGACTATATTTTCAACCTGGAAACGAAGAATATTATAATTATATGACAATTGATACAATTACTTTAATCAAGAAAGGCTAATAAAACTATTTTGTATTTATGTGTGTATGATTTCACAGGAGTCTCTGCAGCTAGTTTGCTGTGTATGTTTTAATATACAAACACAATTTGATATATATTCTGATTAAAGTAAAGAAATGACATATTAATTAATTAAGCCATGAATAAAACCTAACAAGTCCCCACATCTAATATAACCTGGTATAACATATAAAAGTATTTTTTAAGACAGAGGCCTAATGGTTGAGTTTTACATTATATAAGTGTTATTATATGTCGAAGGACATATATGGGGGAAAATACATGTTTTGTTGGTTTCTGTTAGATTGTTAAAACAGTAAACATACTCTGGTAGAGGAAGGGGGGTGGGGGCTCTTAGGAGCTTTCAAAACCAACTGATCTGCAGTCTAACTAGTTAGTCCCTGGATCAACCAGTTGTGAATTATCTCTTAAGGATGAAATGAAAAAAGGGTAGCCTTACAACCTACTTTGGCAAACATCTTGTTGAATATGTAACCCACCATTTCATTGGTCAAATGCCACAAACATTATATAACATACCATTTCATTGGTCACAGGTAACCTCTTCCTCAGTAAACTTGTCATAACATCTACTATCTTCTCGTTAAGTTTTGGGAAGCGCATCATTTCCTGCTGAAAAAGAGAGAATGTGGGTCTTTTCACTATAGCTGTATTCTCAGAGCTTTTAGATCGATTTATCCCCGCGGGGAGTCTCACTAGATTACTGTCAGATAGTCCGGCTTAAATGTCCGTCCCACCTGTTACAAGCTGTAAGGGGGTAATTAAATTTCGTGTCCGCTCGGCTGACAGCTATTTAGCGTGAACCCCCAGGGAGTTAGGTCGATCTAAAGTAGATAGATCTAATCTCTGGAAATGGGGTCTATACTTCTTTTTTTTTTTCAGAGAGGAGGCAAAGCTCTCATGTTTTGAATATAGGAGGTATAGTATAACAAGCTATTGGGTTTGGTTTTATGCAAAACATTTAACCATAAAAAAATCAAAATATCTTAAAACTCTTTATTTGCAATAAATAAATTAATTAAATATCTAAGTTTACCTAAAAGATTTGTTAATGAGTTGTATAAAATGAACATGGTTAATTGGTACGAACGTGACAACAAGGTTAAAGCTGTCAAACATAAAGAATTTTTTTAAAATCAAACTCCAAAATATGACGGACTGATTGATTTTCANGTTTAATATGAATTCTGGTAATAATGTCAATTCCTTATATTTTTTTTTTCTTTTACAAATATATTTGTAACACATTTTCTTGGCATCTTAAAAAAATTTCTAGTACTTACTAACCAACATTGTATTGTGTTCTTTCTTAAAATAATGCCTGTAAACATACAGATTCAATACTGCATTTTTATTCACATCCCTTTATAAGCTGTTGATGGTTGCATGTCTTACATGCATTTTCATTCTTTATTCACCATTTCAAAAAGATAAAAACTGTCTTTGGGATGTTAGCACAAGCTGCCTGCAAAGAAAAAAGAAAGACTGAAGCAACCAAATTCTCAAGACATCTCGGATCAATTGATAAAATTTTTCAATTTTACATCAAGGTTTGTTGTCTGATTCCACTACACAACCTCACAAAGGTTTTGAGTCTGGATATGTATGTAGCAAAGAGTGGGTGGGTTAAAAACACAACCCCTCTAGTCGAAAAAGGTCGATTCTGAATCAAAATTTTATCTAGTAGCTCCTAAACCTTATATCCATTTGGGGCAACTTGGGTGGGTTGCAGGGGGTGGGGGGAGTTCCACTTTTTTTTTTTTTTTTTGAAAAATAACCCCCCTTTGAAAGTGCTGACTACAAGACAGTTCAGGCAGATTTCACACAGAAGAGGGTAAAAATTGTGTTCACTCCAGTGGTATTTCTACCCTTCAACAATGTGGATGCTACGCAAGAAGTCACACCCTACAGATCAACACTAATTGATGTGTTATTTAACAAAGCAAGCAGGCTGTTCTCTAGGTTGCAGATCGATTTTGTTACCCCCTATGGAGAGCAGAGACTGACAGGCCTAAATAAATACTAAAAAAGGGCACTTTGGCAAATGCGTCTGTCAAAGTACTCATCAGTGAATAAATGCACTAGTTTATGAGAACTTAATCTGCTGCCTTTTATCGAGATATTTCAATACTACACCCTTTCTTTCAATTGGATGTTTTTTCTTGTTGTGGTTTTTCATTGGTTTTTATAAATGCCAGTCCCAGTAATTCAACGATCTATCATAGCTTGTCTGTTTTAGAGTCTCCCCCTGGAGTTGATTCAGTCTCGTCAGCAGGTTTCACAACTGCTGCTTTGGGTGGTTTGAGCAGTCCAATATTTCTGAGATACCTGACCAGAAAAGGGGTCACACTGAGTGTGATGGCTATCCTAACTGGAGCAAACACTTTATGTACAGCATAAGCAATCACAAATGTACTGGCGCCTGTGAGGACTCCAGATTCTAAATACTGTGTTCCGATTCCTATCTTTGTGAGAAGTCCAACCATGTCAATGCCGCTGAAAAATAAAAAAAAAAAAAAAGATTAATACAAGTTTAACTTTAATTACTCTGAAGGCTGAAACATTAACATCTGTTTAATAAATATGGTCTTATTATTGACTAATATTGATATTAAACAATGCTCATTCAGTTGAGGCCAAATTGTGGGAATAAATATTTATTCTGAAAATTTAAGAGAAATATGTGAAAAAAATGTTTTCAGTTAAAAATTTGCTTCGCATTTAAGCGGTAAAAACCTTACAATTGTCTCTTAGAATTTTTTTGTCGTTTGGTGACATCATTTATATTTGAACCAATTTCTCTTACTCCAAAGGCCCATTTCCAGTGTTACAAAGGATAAGACTGCCTAATACAGTCTTTGGGAACTTCACCTAGCCCAGCAAATAATATATGTATTAGACATGTAAAGCTTCGGTTGAGTGCATTATGATCGACTTAACCACAGTTCAAGCAGAAAACAATTCCGTGCCCATTTCCATGTATTTCTGTATTCATTCATGTCCTGACTCTGCCAGGAACAGAACACTATGTGTCCTATTGTTTACTGCTGAAATCGTGATTTAAGTACTTGTTACAACACGAGACATCTACTGTATGCACATTCAGTGGATGATAAGTAGATGTAACCGACTTATCCCAGGATGAAGCTTCAAACAATAAAATAATTGCACTGATTGTTTCACTTGGAGCGCCTTGAATTGTATTTAATATACAGGCAAGCATGTAAGCAAAATACAAGTGCAATCATTCTATTGCATTTAAGAGAATGAGCTCTCTGCTGCCACCACTGCTTTAAAAGCTTCTTTTTTTTTTTTTTCAAATTCAATTAGCCAGAAAAATTAAAAACTAATCCTGTTTAAGCAAATGTTCAGTTAACAAATACTGGTACTAGTATGCATACCAGTATCAACGGATATCAAAGTATATTATTAAAATAAATGCAACTTTAGACTCACACCAAAAATAGCAAGCCAATTATGATGCAACACCTCAAAATTCAATTCAGTTATAGCACGCAAAACCTCATTGTCTGTTAGCAATGCACATTTTTATTTTTGTCCGTGGATTTTTAAATTACAAGGCCTTTTGGCACATAGTGTGTGTGTGTGTGTGTGTGTGTGTGTATGTGTGCTTACTTGTATAAAAGAAACAGACAGGGGACCAACAGAATATACTTCTGCTTAAGCATTGTGGCTCAAAAGATTTCAGTTGAAACTGTGTCCTTTTGTATTTCTTTAAGTTATTATTTGAACCTACATGGTGGCATTTGATTGGGTATTGTGACAAAATTTTGACTTCAAATTCATCTTTAATTTTATACAGAAATCTAACTGGTGTCACCAAATTATCAGATAAATAATAAAAGAAAATGTTTTAATAGTCTGTAAATAAGATTATTATTGACATATCATTGACCTTTTTTTTGACAGAGAGACCAAATAACCAGATTTGTACACTCCATTTTGTGGATTATGATCATGTGAATTGTAATTTTTTTTTACGTAAAATTACCATTCATGTGATCAAGTATCCAAGATGGTGAATCAAAATGTAGCGTACGACTCTCATAATTTATCTCAAAGCCAAGCATTATTCATTTATCCACAAAGTAAGTAAACTCCTAATCTGCACCCTGTCCCAAAACCCTTCCCTTTCCAACTATCATTTCTATCAGGCAACTTGGTGATTAGGTTAGTGGGATGAGCTAAAGCAGAATCACCTGTACTTGCTCACGTTTGTTTATATGGAAATAATGAGCGTTACTGTCCAAATTTAGCTATAAACAAATTACAAACACCATGAATGTCCTTCTTCAACTATAAACAAAGTGAATAAAAGATCAGAAAGGGTTTTACTGCACACAGACTACGGTATATATATAAAATATGTCAAATAAATTAAAAAGATCCTCAGCAGTGTCTGTCTCACTGCCCTTCTCTTGTTTGTCCATTTCATATACTAGTATCTGGATGACTTTTTCAGATCTGCTTGATAAATTCTCTTTAGGTAGACTTTGCTGAGGACAAGCCACCTGCCCTCAGATCCCTCAACTTTGTCTAAAAATATCCCAAACATGACATGACAGATAAGACATAATCAAATAAAACATACTAGTTATGGTAAAGAATAAAAGTTAACTGTAGAACAAAGAAGTGAATTCCCATGCATGCTGAAAATGAAAGTGAAAGGCACATGCACAAGTCAAATCTAGGTTGTAGTTCTGACCAAGTCTTTACCTTGTCACAGCCAAATAAAACCCCCCTAAGGAGGCGAGGGAAAGGCTGACGTGGAATACAACCACGGTA